AATGAAACTTTCTTCAACATGAAAAGGAACAGAGACCTATGGAACATAGGGCTGGAAGAAAGTCCTAGAAGATGTTATAATGCCAACAGCAAATTGTGTCTGCTTACCTACCCCAGTTTGTAAACTTTGGTCTTAAAGACAGTGTCAAAATCTTTGTCAAGTTTAATGCTAACAGTATTTTCTTCATTGCATTTTCTTACCAGAAAAAAAATAAGAAACGTTTAAAGACAGGTGATGAAAATGATTATAGATGACAAGCTGAAGATTACATAGTACAAAGTACAACCTACATGGCTGAAGAAACTGAGAAGATTGGAGCTGCTTAAATTAAAAGAGAGAGAGAGAGAGACTTCAGTAGGAATACATTTGATTCAGGTAAAACAACAAAAGTTGCAGAGAAGGTCAAAAAGGGACTCCTGTTTATCTCTAACAATACACGAATGAAGATGTTTGATGAAATAGAAAAGCAATATACTTTTACACAGTTTGTAATTAACCTGTGGAACTGGCTGTCATGAAATATCAGTGCACTCAAGAGTTTCAGAGATTTAGAAAAAGAATTGACATTTTGCCTGAGTAATGGGAATATTTACCCTTAATTTATGGAAAAAAATAATGTTTTGGACAGGACACAAAGTTTCATACTTTGATATATTAACCAATTTCCATTTAAAAGGTTGAAAGAATTTCTGTCTGGAAAAATCTTTTAAAAATTCTTCTCTGTGGATGTCACAGGCAATTTTGCAGTGCTCACAGTCAAAAATTGACCACAACTCTGCAGTGTGACATAACAACTACATGGCCTATTGGCAGTTTATTGTATTTCTTGTATTTTCCCTCTACTCAGCTCTCGTGGAGGCCACACCTGTGCAGTTCTGGGCTCCCCAGTACAAGAGGGTAGGGAAATTCTAGAGTGGGTCCAGTGTAGAGCCACGAAGATGATTAAGAGATGATTGGAGCATTCGTCTTATGAGAAAAGACTAAGCAAGCTGGGACTGTTTAGCCTAGAGGAGATTGATCTTATCAACCTTTACAAATACCTGAGGAGACAATGTAAAGAGGATGGGGACAAACTCTTCTCATTGGCAGCCAGTGATAGGACAAAAGGTAATGAATATAAATTGAACCCCAGGAGGCTTCACCAAGGTCATACGAGGAAGATCTTTTTTTATAGTTTGAGTGACAGAACTGGAACAAGCTGCCCAAAGAGGTTGTGGAGTATCCTTCTATGGAGATATTCAAAACCCATCTAGATGTAATCCTATGTAACTTGTTTTAGGTGACCCTGATTGAGCTGGAGGGTTGGACTGGATACCCTCTGGAAGTTCCTTCCAACCTCAACCATTCTGTGATTCTGTGATTTTCTGGATTTCAGAAATTAATTAATTTTTTAAATGAATCAGAATGATAGAATATCCTGATTTGGAAGAGGCTCACAAGGATCATCAAGTACAAATCCTGATTCCACACAGGACTGCCTAAAAATTAAACTATATGTCTGAGAGCATTGTCCAAACACTTATTGAACTACAGTGCTGTGACCATTTCCCTGGGGAGCCTGTTCCAGTTCCCAACCACACTTTCAGTGAAAAACCTTTTCCTAACATCCAGCCTGAACCTTCCATGATGAAACTCCATGCTGTTACCCTGGGTCCTGTCACTGTCCCCAGAGAGCAGATCTCAGCACCTGCCCCTCCGCTCCCCTTGTGAGGAAGATGTAGGCCAACATGAGGCCTCCCCTCAGTCTGTTCTTCTCTGGGCTGAACAAACCTCAGCTGTTCTTCACATGTCTTACCTTCTAGACTTTTCATCATCTTCACAGCCCTCTTTTGGACATTTTTTTTTTTTTTTTAATGTCCTTTTAATGCTGTGGTGCCCCAAACTGCACGTGGTACTTGAACTGAAGCCACACCAGTGCAGAGCAGAGCAGGACAATCCCTTCTCTCAACCAGCTAGCAATGCTGTGTTTGATGCACTTCAGGAAATGGTTGGCCTTTTTGGATCTCAGGGTACATTGTTGACTCATATTCAACTTGCCATTCACCAGAAACCCCAGATCTCTTTCTGGGTGGCTGTCTTCCCTCACTCTGTATATATAACCAGGAATGCCCTATCCCAGGTGCAGAATCTGGCCGTTGCTCTTGTTAAACTTCATGCAGATTCATTGCCCACCAAACAAATGGTAGAACTAGTCTCCAAATGTTGTAAAACTCTGTTCCTATAAAGTCTTAATATGCACAAGATTTTGTCTTACTTGCTGCTTACTACAAGGAATATAATATTTCACTTCTTCTTATCAATACAATTCACTATTTTACCTATTGTGACTGTTACATTTTTGACATGACTTTCTTCTGTGACTATTCTTACTCTCTATTTTCTGTTACTGAACACAATGGAAGCTTTATTCAGTCCAGTTTCTCTTATCTGTGGTGTTTCTTTGTCTGGTTGTTTTGTAAAGAATTGAAAATGTGAGAAACTGTTCATTAAAATAATCTTTTCAGTTCCAACATCCTTCAGTTCTACAGATACTCACACACAGTATCATGCATTGTACTTACAGTTATCAAGCCAAAAAATAAACCTGCAGAAGTCTGCTGTTTCCCTACATAAAGATATTAAGCTTTTTGCATTTTTTTCCCCAGGAAAAATTAAGAGTAAGCAAGAGAGATGAGCAAGGGAAAAAAGTTTACTTCAAAATTTTAATAGTTTTCCCTGCTGAGCAGAAGAAAAAGGTTTTCAAAAGTCATTTTGGAAGATAAAAGATTTGAACAACCAGACAAAATTACTGATGTCACATTGCTTTTCTTTGTTCAAGCCAAAGGCTTGACCTTTAGTCATTCATATCCCAAGCAACTGACTTAACTCCAAACTATTAAATGTTCTGGAAATGTTTGTCTAACAATTTTATCCAGAAAAACAAATAAAATAACTAACAAGAAACTGACTACAGAATAGAACCCTCCATAACTAGGGTTAGAATACATGCCTATTGCACAGGATGAATGAAGACTTCAGGTTATGATTCCAGCTTTGCCTTTTCTCTAGTTTGTTGATTATTGTCCTTGTGAAAGAGGTGCTGAGGTCTTCAAAGCACACATGCTAAGATGTTGCTCTGATTTACCCTTTGTAAAAGTGCAACTCTTACAAGTGATGTTTTATGGAGAATGGATTCCTAAAAGTGAATATCTATGGGTTTTGTTGGTTTTCAACAACATATTTATTCTGAATTTAAATGAGAGTATGTGAGTATTTGATGGAATTATCATTGAAATGACATGTACTGTAACCCCATTAAATCTGCAGATAGAAGTATTCAGTTGGAAAATTCCCAAATGGTTTTATACTCAATACATCTCATTTTCTTCTTTTCTTTTATAACAACTAAAATAACAAAAAATTGTGATCTATATTTTATAAACTCTATCCCAACATTCAAGAGTCCATATACTCGTCTTTCTCCTTCTATTTGTAGCATGTAGATTTTGATTATTTAAATATATTTATTATATTTATTATATTTAATTATATTTAATTAATATTTAATTATTTATGCAAATTTTACTATATAGAATAACCTTATATATGTAACTATATTATGTAGATAGAAGACTCTGTAGTCATATTCTGCAAGTAGTTTTAATTCAGTGATGGTTTTAATATAGTCAACGTGTAGTGAGTTGGTTGAGAAAATTGAATGTGTGTTCATGCAAGTGATTGTTGAGGATCAAAACTCTTAACATGTCCAGGCAGAAGCTGTGTTACTGTGGAATCTAGACAGTTACACAAAGGCATGAACTATCTCTGGTACAGCATCTCCCCTATACAGGACATTCTCAACATTCAGTTCTACTTTGGACTATGAGGGAGGTACAGTAATATAGGATGGTGGCAGAAATACCTCTTTTAGAATGAGGTAGTTCTCTATTTTGCAATCTTTTGGATGTTATCTCACTATACACATAATCCTATTGGTTTGCAGGAGTAAAGTAGTACTGAATGTGAACAGAGTGGTAACCTTGTGTCTAATGTGGTTTTTGAAATTAAATAAATAAATTCATGTTTTGCTCTGGGTTCTGTTATTTTTCTTTGTAATAAAACTGAGTCTTTATAGTCATATGTAGAACTAGTACCAAGTAATTGGTCTAAACATCCTTCTTGAACTTATCATCAAATCATCTATCATGTAAAACCAACTGTGCTTGGGAAGATGGACAGAGATTCTCTCCATCCTTTCTGTTGCCTCTGTCGGGAGTCTATTTAGAAAATCTTCCTCGGAATGCTCCATTACCTTAAAACATATTGTATAACACTTCTTTTTTGTTGTTGTTTTGTTTCTGTTCTTGCTTTTGTTTTGTTTTCTAGCCAAAAATCTTCAAAAGCTTTTAAATGACAAAGCCATGAAATATTGTTGTCCACATGTAAAAAGCAGAAAAATCAGCAGAAGGTCTCCTGATTTCTTTCATTCTTGATTTCTTGCAGTAAGCCAGTTATTTAATGGATATTTTAAAATCCTTCAGCATGTGAGGCAGACTACAGCAGAATCTCTCTAAGCAATGGAAAACAATGTATCACAGAATCATCTAGGTTGGAAGAGACCTCCAAGATCAGCCTTGTTAGTGTTAGGTCAAAGTCCAGCCTTTGACCTAACACTAACTAGTCCTCCACTAAACCATATCACTGAGCTCTACATCTAACCATCTTTTAAAAGCCTTCAGGGGTGGTGACTCAACCACTTCCTTGGGCAGCCCATTCCAATGCCTAACAACACTTTCGGTAAAGAAGTTTTTCCTAATATCCAACCTAAACCTCCCCTGGTGCAACTTTAGCCCATTCCCCCTCATCCTATTGCCAGTCACGTGGGAGAATAGACCAATAAAATAAATATAATGTATAATAAAATGTATAAATAATAAGAACCTAATCTTTCCTTTTAATGAAAAACTCACAAGGGAGGAAAGATATGCATGCCTGTGGACCAAAAAGTCAATTGTACTTACATGCTTGTGGCCCTGTGAAGTATGATCTTCAAGCATTATTCTGATGCTTAAATGCTTCTGTGTTTCATGTTGCAAAACCTAGGTAGGGAGGAGACAGTGCGGTGTCATCTCATTTTGGGCAGCAACCTAACTGCAGAAAACAAGAGAAAACTTTGTTGTGTTATTTCAGTTTTGATATAGTCTACCCAAAATAAATAATATTTTTTATAAAACAAAACAAAAACAAAGGAAAAAAAAACACAACAAACAAACAAACAAACAAACAAAAAACAACGGAAGGCCCAAAACAGCCCAGGAATCCTAGTAGTCACTGTACTTGGGGAGTGTAGAGAAGTGTACAAGTGTAGAGAAGAGAGTTGAAGTCTTAAAGAGAAGTCTTCTCCAGTAGCCTGAATTTCGCCCCCCACAGGGTCATTTAAGTCCTCCATACTATTCAAGACAGACACCACCTCTGGCTACTCACCTGGGACAGCAGAAGTCCAGCTTTAAAGTCAGTTTACTTCTTCATATTTGATGGAGGTGTTTCAAACATCCAGCAGCTTTCCACCATGCTCTATTAATAACCAGTCTCTGGCTGTAGGTAGGAAGGAACCAAGAGAAGAGAGTGCTTATATGCTTAATAAATGACTCTATCTGTCTGTCTGTCTGTCTATGTATTTATCTAAGTAGCTAGCTAGCTAGCTAGCTAGGTAGCTAACTTCTGGCTTCTTCTAACCACAGCTATAGTTTCTGCTGTTATGAAAAACAGTTAATGAAAAAATATTCCAGCACTAGTAACCAAAAGTGAAAGAATCTGAGATGGATTTGTTGAATGCTAGCTGCCAGTCTCAGAGCCAGAAAATTTGGTTACTGTTTTCAGAAGTCCATTTATGGTTTGAATCATTTGGTAAAATAGTATGAAGATGAAAAAAGTTAGATTTATGGCAAAAAGCTATTCTAAAACTCCACATAGTATTAAGAAATGAATGTTTGACCACCTCTCTTCCCCATCCCCCAGATTACCTTTTTGTATTCATGTACAATTTATAATGAATTTCAGAATATTTTAGTCCATTCTATTTCACCATCAGTTCTTGTCATCCTGCTTGTGCTTTCTTGGTATCCAACAGCAGCTTTTTTTTTGACAGAGTCAAAGGTTATTTCCTAACACCTCATTGAGCTGCAGTTCCTTCCTGCACAAAATGGGCAGATACTTTCCAAAACAACTTTATTCGGATCAGTTAAATTCTGTCCACGTGTTGGTTGATGAGGTGAATGCTTAACAGAACTACCTTCTCAATTACTATGTTAGAACCATTCTTACCTATTCCAGCAATCACGTCAGAAAGTTCACCTTAAGGGCTGAAAAAACATAACTAATGAGCCATTGGTTGCAACTGGGATGGGACATTTTGGTTTATCAAGTTTAAACCCATTATAAATATATATGTATTATATATATATAATACATTAAACAACTGGACTTTTAAATGAAAAATAACTAAATAAAAGAGGACTACACCAGGGAGATGTTTTTAAGAGGCAAAATGGACATATCTAGGATAAAAGAAGAAAGTGGAAGGTTATATTCTCCAAAAACGTGTTGTCCATGAAGGATTAGAGGTGTGTGGGAGCTGAAGTTCACACTTTTAAAATGTTAATGTCAAATCAGAGAGCTCCCAATGAGCCCTCAGTAAGTTTTTCTCCCTATCTTCCTTGTGTTTTTAAAATCTACAATTATTTAGGGCTGAAGATTTAAGGAAATTAAAATATAACTCAACAGGTTTCATTAGGGTATTTTTGGGCTATAAAATGGGTGTTTGGTGTGAAAAAGGGAGTTTCTGTTTCTTACCATTGGAGCTAGTTATACAGTGAAATAATTTCTCTGTTCAAAAGGCCTGTTGAACACACACCAATCCTGTATTTACTTTGCATAGAATGCCTGGAGGTGTTTTGTTTTTCTCTCACTTAATCTATTTGTACTGTAGAAGTGTATTGCATCTCCTACCATACTCTTCCTAAGAATGTTACTACAACATTTCATTAGTATATTTGCAAATCTCAGAAATTACTCTTTGTGGAAGAAAGGAGAAACAACCCCAAGTAATTAACTAACATGCTATATTATTGCTTCGGTTCTTCTTTAATAGTTAATATGAAGAAATGAAAGGGGAGTCAAAGCTACCATAAAGTGTAGTACATTTCACTTACACACACTCTGTGAATTTATCACATGATAAACAAAACTTTTCCAGTCTGAGCACAGCTGTTATAAACAACTCTATTTGTATAGCTGCCCCAAACACTGTTTAGCATAAAGTTGCCTCTACTGCTAGACTGTTGTGATACCTTCCTGCCTGTTTGTTTTACTAGCATGCATCCCAGTGTGGGAACTGTATGCCATATCTGTTTGTTTGATCATGTACACTGTGTATAACATCCTGTGTTTCTTTAAGTAAGCTTCTAGGTAAAAGAAAAAGCACAGTTTTTATATCACACTCTGATGGATGTATTGAGTATATAGTCATCTAAAACTATGTTTGCAATAGTTGATCATTAACACTTATGGAGCATAGATAAGAAAACTGCCTTTTTTCCACTATTGCATCTTTACAAAATGATATTAAGCCTAACAATATATGAAAGACAGCCCTGAGATAATTTTAAATGTTTGATTCTCTTAAACGACTTTCATATAAGTTGAATTTAGAAGATCTCTTTACAGTCATTTTCAGATAGATCTACAGGATAGTTAAACAATTATGTTTTGTTTGTTTATTTTTTGTTTGTTTTGTTTGTTTGTTTTTCTTTCTTAATTGAAGAACAAAGGCAAATTCAATGTTATTTGGGAATTCATGTGCTCTGTCAAGGGAGACTTTTTCTGATCACTGGTTTGAGTATGACAACAAGGCTGCAGAGACAAAGAGAGACAGAGGAGAAAACCTGTTTCCAGGGTCATTTCAGCCAACATGAGCACCAGATTGGTGGATCCCAGTCCTGTCCCCACTTTCAGCTGCTCATTTCTGCCCCTCCCCACCCCCACACATGCCTTTTCAGTTGTATCACAACACTATTTGTGGGGCTATGCAAAGAAATAGATCAGAGAAATTATATGTGTTAAAAATAACAGCATATTTTTCACCTGTTTCAGTATCTTGATCGGCTGACCACGTGGCCTGTAGTCCCCTAACAGAGGAGGCAGTGCAGGGATGGAAGATGAGAAGCAGGGGGACAAGAGTAGGCAGCAAGAGACTGAGTTAGTGTTGCTGCTGAAGCCTCTAGAAGGTTTGCCTGAGTCAGCCTGAATAAAGATGCTGTCATAACCCTGACTTCACAATAAAAGGACAATATTGGCCAAAGGAGACTTGGATCCTGAATACAAAAAGTGATACAGTTTCTTCTTTGGCAAAAGACTCCAGCCTTTGATCCATCTTTTAAGGGAGCAGACATGCATCAAAGGAATTTCTGCTATAAATTTTAGTTGATTTTAACAAGTGCAATGCCAAATTGGTGAAAAATGGCTGAAAGAGAGTTAAAATATGTACAAAGGTGAGAAGTCTGAAACATTGCTTTGTGCATTTTGATGCTTTTGTTCATAAAGTAGCACAAAACAGAAAATCAGCTTAGCAAATGATGTAATTACTAACAGTCCACTCTACTCATCTTGTTTGGTAGACCAGAGCACCATCATACTTGCTAATGGGAAATCTTTCAGTAGAAGTCATTTAATTATAGAGCATTTGGCAGTTATATTGGCCAGTCTTTCCATATTATTCTGTCCAGTTGTCCAGTCCATATAATAGTTGACATCGATAGCAGCAAGAATATGTTATTGGAACAAAGGTAGGTAATTTCTGCTTGGAAAACTTTAGGTTTTCTTTATTCCAAAATCATAATGAAAATCTTTATTTCGAGCATCACATAGGCAAAGACATGAAAGTAACTTAACACAGGGCTATGCAGCAGCTGAGTGCTGGTAACTGTTGGTTCAGTTTTAACAAAAAGCAAATGCAACATGATGTAACATATCTTTGTACTATGTAATTACCTGAAAAATAGCGTCAAATCATCCAACATATTTAATGCCTTAACAGCAATTAATCCTGACTTCAGTGTGAGTCTAAGGCCTCTGTATTGATCTACTCATTACTCCTACCTGGTAATTACTTACTTTTCTGTGAAAGTATTGCTTGATTTTTTTCACTCTTTATACAGTTACATTTATTATGTAGCTTAAACAAAGGCATGTTCTGGTTTTACAAACAGCAATGGACATGCTTAATTTTAAGTTTGTAACTACGCCTTGGAAGTCAAAAGCATTTCAGTTCAAAGATACATGTAACTACCCAAAGAATTGGGTCCACAGCCATGAAAAATATAAATATCTGAAACACAAATGAAAATACTTGAGCATATGCACAGCTTACAGTGGCATTACTAAGTCATTAGGGGTGATTGCTTGTGCCAGCTACCTAATATAAACATTAGATGATTTTGCATCTCCTTGATTGATCATACATTTGTTAGAGATGATGAGATGAATTTCGTATTTCCATACAGCCTGAAAAAACTAATAAAATGGAATAAGATGGTGTAAAACAGAGAAGACTTTCTTCCAAGTCTTGAAGGTCATTTCTTCATGAATACAAAACTATACCATCTCTTGGTAAAAAATGTACAAATATATTCTGTAACATAATGTTCTGTATTCATATTTTAAACATATTAGTTAAATATTAAACATATTCAGTTTGAGATCCTGTTATTAACTATAGAAAAGGTCATGACAGTAGAAAGACTGCAATAGCTACTCTGAACAAAGTAACTTGTCATTTGGTAACTAAAAAATAATATGTATATTCTCAAAACTTGTCTCTTTCTTAACCTTCATTCTTTCTTTCTAGACCCTGCTTTTTCCTCCACATTCTACCCTCCCTCCCTCCCCCAGTTCTCTTCAATTTGATCTCATCCATATGGTCTTAGACAAATTGGCTGAAAGAGATCTGGGTAAGGTGAGCAGATGTCCTGTGAAAAAAAGGCATCAGGGTGTCCATTTTTCCCTATATTTCATATTATCATACTCAGTTGCACGGTAGGGGAAAAATAATAACCAATTTACATAGAGTAAATTCCTGGATAAATCTGTTTTAAAACACTGGAAAAGGAACTTCTACAATACTTTGTCAAAATTAAAAAAAAAAAAATATCCAAAAACAAAAACAAAAAAACATTGTTCATTCTTTGCAGTTATGCCAGCAGGTTGTCTAAAACATCTGCTCTGGTAATATGTCACAAGCAATAGCCTGTGCAGGTTAGGCCAGTACATAATAGAAGTAAATGTATTTTTAAATGCCAGGTTTTAAAAGAAGACAGATCTGCTTGGTATCTCATTAAAGAGAAATGGCTTTTCATGTCAACCCATCAGTAGTTGTGCAGCTCTGGAGAAAGTTTCAAAGGTTACAATCCATACCTTTTAACTCTTAACTAGTTTACATTTTTCCAATGAAGAAAACCATAGATAGTTTTAATTCTCAAATGATATAATTTTCTGATTTTTTTGACTTTAAAAAGTGAAAGAAAACTTGCCTTTTATCTGTATATAGCAAATTACTGTGCTCTCACCAATATCCTTCCTATTTCCTTAGAGGAAAATCCCTTAGGAGCATCATGTAGGGTTTCTATTTTATACCTTTGCTTCACTGCATGTTCATACGCATGTATACATGTACATGTATACATGTATCACAAAAAATCTTTTAGGATTGATTCTGACTTGATGGCAAAATAACACTGAATTAAACTCACTGATTTCCTAGAAGTATTCAGTCACATCAGTAGAACTTCCAGAGAAAAAAGCTTTCTTCAGCAAAGAATTCAGCTTTCTCTGCAGAGAGCAAAATAGACATGTCTTAAGTCAAAAATCTTTATACAATCTGTATATTTTTGATTCAAATTCAGTGATACTAAATTTAAGCATGCTTGCATTTTTGTATTATCTGACTGAAAGAGAGGTATTCAAGTATGTAAAATTTACTAAACCATGGATTATCCAACAAAGAACAAAAACCAGTTAGATTATAAAAGGTTTCTGGATGAATTCTATATTTAAATAGATGATTCACTTGGAATAAATTATGTTTCTGTAGTTATGCAAATACTTAAAGATTTTGATAAACTAGATCTATAGCACTAGTATATAACTCCAGTAGTGATAAATTTCCCTTTGTTTACTCTGATAGTAAATATAAAATAAAAATAAAATAAAAATTACAGTGACACATATAAGAAGTCAATTATCTTTCTGGAAGCCCTGTGATTACCTCTGGAATAAGTCAAGTGTTATTAAGTCAAATCATTGCTCATCACAGAATACATGCATACATACCAGTTTTGGCTAAATTTTCATTGTGAGGTCAAGAATATACATGTTTGGTTAAAACATTAGAGAAAACAAGACCAAAATAGAAGTAATATGCACAATTTTTCCTTCACTGCAGAAAAGGCCTTGCTATACCTGTTTTGGAGAACTTTTTTAAAGATCTTCCAGTGTACTCTTATTTGGGCAAAAATCCTATAATGTGAAAATTTTTGAATCTATTTCCTTTTGAGTGTATACAAATTAGTAAACAAAGATTTTTTTTTATTTATTTTTTCTTAGAATAAGACAATTTCTTCCTTGCTTGAATTATCTCTGGATTGAAACTGAACATAAAAAAACAAACAAACAAACAAACAAGCAAACAAAAAACCATCACATCTTTCTTTTTTAATAGAATTTATTTCCTTTGTTGAAATGTTGAAAAAAAAAAAAAAAACACTCTAAAACTGTGATTAAGAAGTGTGAGGAATAAAGAAAATGAATGAAGTATAAAAATGTACCAGGAAAAAAAAAAAAAAAAAAAAAAAAGGACCTGATTATCTGGGGAAGATTCTGCTTTGCATTGATATTACATAATAGTATTCTGCTCTGAACTACTCTCAATTTCTTAACCAAATTACCCTTTAAATTACCAAGCAAGGGCCATATGCTTCCCTCATTTATGCTGTGTATATCTCAGATTCTCACTTAATTTAAACAAGAGAGACATGGTAAGTGTCTCTTTAGTTTGAAGGAAACCTGCATGCATTTCTTTTAGAGCAATTTTCTGAAAGTTACCATGGTGAGAACTGCTTTTTCACAGTGTCCTCCTGATCTCTGACTCAGACTAGAAGTTCCTCATTTTTGCCTTCTTTGAACCATTCTCTTTCTCATCAAGGACTAGACAAGACTCTTCTTCAGTACTTCACAATGGCTACTTTTTTCCTAAGGAGAGTTATGGTTGGTGAATAGCATCTGAGACAAGAAAAACACTAAGATTCAGAAATGAACATAAATTTGCTCCTAAATTTAAATTCATTCATAACTCAGCAAGGTCACAAAGATTAATCATATGCCTAAAAGTATGTGCAGTGTTTAGGTAACTCACTAAACTGGGGTGTGTTTTCTTGGAAATTTCCATATGTCCATAATTTGATTTTTTTTTTTCTTGGTGGACTTTTCCATGCATTGTGGTACCAAACTATTTGCTCCATTTTTTCATATGGTCTGAAATTTTTTCTCTAGTGATGTGGGGGTGAGTAATAGAACCAGAATACTATAACCTCTAACAGGAACTGGGGTTAACAAGTTTTATAAACAATTAAAAAGTGTCAGGCAAAATTTGGCTTGTTATGTTTCAATTCTAGTCTTCACAACATTACTTCTTTAAAAGGTTAATGGAAGTGGTGTAACAGAAACATGAATAGACTGAATTAGGATTTAACAGCAATGGTTTATGGACAGCCAGAAGTTGGTCATAATGAAGTAGACTTCTTGATGAAACAATTAATCTGGATGCAGAAAGAGGGAAATAACAACATATACTTCTTGACTTGCATAAATCCTGCTATATACATAAATCCTGTTAAATCTTCTATAATGGTTACATGGAGTTCACCTATTTCCACTCTTGTGCCTCTGTTCTGCTAGTTCAGTGACAACAGAAGGTCATTAAGTCTTGAAGATTTCTGTTGAATGTGAATGTGGGATGGTTGTGTGATAGGTGAGACCAAATTCTCTAAGTCTTTTTTCAGAGAACTGACCTGTGGAAAGTGAGCACCTATGAGGAGGAGTGCACTGGTGTCTACTAACTAGATTTATAAGACACAATTTTTAAATACTTGTATGTGTCTTCTATGTAAAGAGTGAGTCCTCACATTTTCCCCTGTAATCATTCATTTACAGCTCTACACCCTCTTGCTCTATAACACCACATGTTTGTCATAGGGTTTGCCAAACAGCTGGACTTAGTGTGTTGGTGTCGTTATTTTGCTGTTGGGATTGTGATCCCTGGTAGAAAATCACATTTCAAAGGATTCCTGCCACCCAGTCCTTCCCTGCTGCTTCAGTGAAGTATGGCAGCCTCCTACATTGGTAACACTGGCTCCCCCGCTAGTCAGTAATGAGGGGATCCAATACTCAGCTTTTCTCATATTAAGAAAGAGAATACTGTGCTCAGAGACAAGCAATGAGAGGAGAGAAAAACAGAAAAGAAAAAAAAAAAAGCTTTTTGAGACCGGTGAATCTGAAATTCAAGACCAACCAAGCAAAAAGGAAACTGTAGAATCAAGAAAGTCACACAGAGATTCAGAGGAGAAAGAAAGATTAATGTTGGTTAGTTTTGCAGGTTTCTTTTTTCTGGTTCAATGTAATTCTTCAGTTAGCTAATAATGAAGGATACTTTTTGGTGACACTTTTAAAGCATTTGTATTCCTGACTTTTAGCTCTCCTTGAGAAATGGGATTGATAATAAGCTTGATGTTATGAGTGATATTTTTAGGCTCGTGTGATTGTTTTTGTTTGGGCTCTGAGCCATAGGCCTGAGGCAGCTGGGTCCTCCACCTTATAACAGACTTCCAGTAGATATTCTGTGTTCATAAATATACAGCAGAACTCAGAAGATACCAGTGTTGCCACCTACTCAGCAAAAGCCCAAGTAAATTAAGACAACATATTGTTGGCACCCAAAATTGGTCCATGTGGGGAAGGAGAAAAAGTACCACATCTGTGTGATGAATGACTTATTTAAACTGTATTTAAACTATGGCTAGTGAGATAAACCATCAGTAGAATTCTGAATTTCAAGAGTCCCAGCAAGAGATTTTTACACAAATTTTTTCTTTGCCACTTTAGTAAATTACCTGCCATTTACTATTTTTCTATTCATTCACAATATACAGTTAAAGGAATGATTAATGTTTTGGAAATCTAATAGCAAAAAAGCCTGTTCAGTGAAACACTATAAAAATAGCAGCAACAAAAATGTAAAGTCTTGGGTTTTTTTTGTGTGTTTTTTTTTGTTGTTGTTGTTTGTTTTTTGTTTGTTTGTTTGTTTTTTGTCTTGTCCTGGTCTACCAGTCAGTCACTTCAAGCAGCACTTCAGTAGATAGCAGAGATATCCATACCAAAGCTCATTCAGGTTGCCATTCAGATTTTTACCTCTGCATTCTGTGCTCTCTTTGTGTCAGTTTTTGCAAGTGATGTGTGTATCATTATGCTCTTCATATGACATCTGTGTCTGCCATAGTTTCGTGCATTTCAACTCAATGTATTAAAACTAGCTCAGTTGTGACCTTTGAGTTTCATGGGCTCCTGGGTAGAATGGCAGTGGGAGGGTTCAAAAAGTGTGAAAGGGAGTTAAAAAATGTTTATATGCTTTATTTGATCTAATTTACTAGTCTCAAAGCATACTAAATTAATTCATTGTGGATCTGTGGTACTGCTGCAGTGCCTATGTAAATTTGGTCTTTCTTCAATGCTTTTCACTGTCTTTTCTACCAGAGCACAACAGTCTTCACCTTCTACAAAACAAGCCATAAGTTTTAGTTTTGTACATGGCAAAAAGTTGATGTGCAAACCTTACTCTTTAGTGCAATTCAGTATTATGGCAGGTAAGAAATAATTTTGTATTTTTTTTTCCATATTCTGTATAGTACTCTGTATTCTGTATAGCATTTCTATTGTCATATCTTTACTGTCTCCTGACTATTTCAAGTATAGTAGGACATACTTAAACAACAGGATGGGAACCTGTGAACCTCCATCACATGCTTGTCAGACATGCACGGATGACAGGATTATCAACCTCTGATGGCAGAATTAATTTTGTTAACCTTATCTGTAGTGGAAGTGGAAAATATGCAGGTGGTGAATAAATACTATGAAGAGATAATACAATTACTCAGCCTCATTAAATGGCTACACATTGTGCTATTTAGCAATGCACTCAATAGCCAGGTGTCTTGAAGTGCAGGTACAATAGATTATTAACTGTAGGGGGACAGCACACATAAAGGCATAACTGTTGAGAGTATTCAATTCATTCTGCTCAACACCATATGCATAGAGACATGAAACAGTTGTTATTACGACATTATCTCAGCTTGTCTAATCCAGCTATCCCTATCCTTTCACCTAGCCTTCCTTTCTCTGTTATCTTCCCTTCTCTTCTCTTTACGGGCTCTAAATCTGTAAAGGAACATAACAAAATCTTTCAAATTGAAATCTAATACCTTTTCACCTTTTTTAAGAAAGGAACACAAGTTATCAACAATGCACATTAATCAGTTATAAATGAAAGTAATAACAATCCGCCATGCTCTTCTGCCTATTATCATAAGTAGCATGAAATGATAATTTAATAGTATGCAGTACTTCACTTCATCAATAAGAGTATCCAAGCAGCAAAGCACAAACACTAACAAGTGTGCAGCACAGTCAATTCTCATCACATTCCCAGGACTTGTTTGATTTTTCATCAGCTGTAACATCAGAGTTGGACTTGATGATCCTTAAGGGTCCCTTCC